TGGCCCTGAGATCGTTATTTAGTGCAATCAGAGCTCTTGGATAGAAACTATTCAGAAGGCGTGTGGTTCGTGTTTTCATTGTCCTATATCTTCTGCCCGAAGGCAATAGTTCAAAGAAGTTGTGAGCAGGGTGGGTGGGATCTCTCAGAATATTATGTGACTTCTTCAAGATGCGAGACGTGAAGATCTCATCCAGGGTTGGTAGTCGGAGCCCAATAACGTTCTGGGCAATTTTAATTGTTCGCACTTCCGTTTTACTTATTCCGCACAGGAGAGAATCTGATCTGCAAGTCTGAGCTCAACTTCTTCCTTGAAACAGAAAAATAAAGAGACTTTGAGAGGTATGACCTTCCTCTTGCCTGGCAGACTGTATCTTGTAGGTCTCGTTTCAGTTTGTGGGAACATGAGAAAAGTCCTGCTGGAGTAGGATCAGGGCCCACCTCATCCATCATCCTCTTCTCACAAGGACCAGGCAAGGAGAAACCCCCCCAGCAGGGCCAACAGCTGTCTCCCCACTCAGGACTCCCAGCCCCTGGGATTCAGATGAATAATTCCTCCGTAGGGGGAGGGGGAGTAATATCTGGGAACTGAAGGACTGCTACTGAAATGGTGGGTGGTTCTGAGAAGGTGGACACAATGGAGCCGCCTCAGAAGTAAATGGTGCAGGATTAGGGAATGTGTGCCGTTGGTTGGAGTGTATCAGGAAGATGTTAAACATCACGGAGGAAGGGGGAAACAATACAGATATTTAGCTTTTTCAGAGGAGGAGGAAGATGGAGAAAGTGTGTCCCTCCAGATGCTGTTCCAGTAGAACTCCCATCATCCCTGGTCGTTGGCCATCCTTGCTTGGGCTGATGGTGCTTTGAGTCCAACCACATCTGGAGGGCCAGAGGTGTCGCACCTCCCAACGCGCAGGAGCGATGCCTCTCTCTGGCTCTCCCTCCGCGCAGTCTACGGAGACAAAGCGAGAAATGTAAGACTAAATCTAAGTGAATCAATAAGAAAGGAGGATATGATGGTATGTAAATTAGACGGGCAGGTTGAGATGACAGGAGGGGCTGGGATGGATGCGGCTCTGTAGGAGAGAGGGGCAACCCGGGCAGCGGCTGAGAAACCCGCTGCGTCCGCCGGTTTCCACTTATTCTGCCCCGCGTGGGGAAGAAGGCGGGAGGCCTGTGGCAGGAGCTCCGCCCCGAGGGTTGTCTTCTGCTGCGCCGGGTGAGAGGATCCGTCGCTAAGCCGGACACACGCACGCTCTTCTCCGCCCAGAGGTTCGGGAGCGCACGCAGCTCGGGCTCGGCTGAATCTCCCACCAAGCGCCTCCTGCTCGCCGCTGCTCTTGGCTCCAGCCTCCCTCGCTTTGCGCGCCGAGCGGCTCCTCGCCGCCGCCGCCCCGCCTCTCGCCGCCCGACTCGCCCGCCTCCCTCCAGGCATCTCGCGGCACACCAGCCGATGTCTCACGGCACACTCGTGTGCCGCGGAACACCGGTTGGGAAACACTGCCATAGATGATTCCTCTAGGAGCTCAGACTCACCTGGGAGGTCCAGGTGGGTATAGAGACCAAGGGTTACAGAGACACGTTTTCAGGGATTATGATTGATACCTAGACTCCAAATCCAAGGTGCCCACAGTAAATGAAGGTTTTGATGATACCCTCAAAGAGGTCTGGTTTATATTCCAGAAGACGGCCAACCAGAGGATAGATCTGAAGGTTCTGAACTGAGTTACAATCGAGATTCTGAGTTACAATTCAGGCTGAAAAATGGAGGCAGGGGTCCTAAATGTCATCTAAAGATGGTTTCCCCCCTCACAATCTCTTCTGGTGAAAGCATCTCTGACTGCACCTCCTCTCTCAAAAGTCAGATTCTGTCCTTCCACCCCCTTTTGTTGACATCCATCTGCCTCGAGACACAATGTAGAGTCTCCATGAGGTTGAAGTCAAACAGGGGTGTTAGAAGCACAGACGTGACCCCCGCAGAATACAGGGCAGTGTGTGTGGAGGTCCTGGGCTGCCTACACGACAAGGCCATCTTCTCCAGCAGGGTGCCCCCGTTTAAAAATGCAAAAATCCGGACAGAGTTGTTGAGCTTTCTAAAAATACAAATTCTCCCCAAAAGAAGCAGATTTTGAGCTTTCCTGATGTTTCCCACCATAGAAATCTTCGGAATGTAATGGAGTCTGGCACGCTCCTGCCGCTTGACCCTCAAGCTCTCTTCCTGGCTCCAAGCACAGTACAGTGGTGCCGCGCAAGACGAAATTAATTCGTTCCGCAAGTCTCTTTGTCTTGCGAGTTTTTCGTCTTGGGATGCACGGTTTCCCATAGGAATGCATTGAAAATCAATTAATGCGTTCCTAGGGAAACTGCCTTCAGGCCAGGTCCGGGGACAGTCTGTCCCCGGACCTCTTCTGAAGGCTGGGGGGGGGGACAAGGGCTTTTCTTCCCACCCCCAGCATTTTAAAAAACCCCGGGACAGCGGAGGACTTCTCCGCTGTCCGGGGCGATCTTAAAATGCTGGCGGGTGGCATTTTAAAATCGCCCCGGGACAGCGGAGGACTTCTCTGCTGTCCGGGGCGATTTAAAAGCCCCTGGGAAGGCAGGCAGAGGGGACAAAGACTTTTGCCCCCCTCCAGCTTTCAGAAGAGGTCCAGGACCTCTTCTGAAGGCGGGCGGGGGCGAAAGTCTTTCCCCCCCCCGCCTGCCTTCAAAAGCCGTCGGCGACAGCGGAGAAAGGCGCTGCCTTTCTCCGCTCTCCCGGGAAGGCAGGCGGAGGGGGGAAAGACTTTCGCCCCCCGCCGGCCTTCAGAAGAGGTCCAGGACCTCTTCTGAAGGCCGGCGGGGGGGGGCGAAAGTCTTTGCTCCCCCCGCCTGCCTTCAAAAGCCGTCCGCGATAGCGGGAAGCGCTTCCCTGCTATGCTGGACTGCTTTTAAAATGCTGGCGGTGGGGAGCAAAGCCTTTCGGCCCCCCCCGGCCTTCCTGGACCTCTTCTGAAGGCCGAAGGGTGGGAAAGGCTTTGCTCCCCACCACCAGCATTTAAAACAGGTCCCCGGAGATTTCCCTATGGGCTTTCGTCTTGCGAAGCAAGCCCATAGGGAAATTCGTCTTGCGAAGCGCCTCCAAAACCGAAAAACCTTCCGTCTTGCGGGTTTTCCGTCTTGCGAGGCATTCGTCTTGCGGGGTACCACTGTATCGCAGCAGCGGTTTTGCCTTGTGTGGGTGATAAATCCCAGTCTGTACACAGGCTTCTTGCTTAATCTAAGAAGGCTTTATTATGTACAGAAAAAACATCATAAATCACCCCGGAGATCGGGCGGACATTCTCTCCGGCTCAACAGCTAAAAGCGGAAGTAACTCACACGCAAAGAAAGATTCCCGTATGTGAACAAAACCAGGCCTCAGGATGTGAGACGTCACACAGAACTGTTTAACCCTGTAAGTTCTGGTTCTCCTCACAAGAAACGGCAGCCTTGCCATACGTCTGGGTGGACCTTTTGCCAATCTTGTGAAAATCCTCCTCGATTCCCAGAGGGGAACAGACCTATGGCAGCCCTACCTTCTCAACCTTCTTGATATGGTCCAAAGGGAAGCAGCGCAATATTTTTGGCCCCAGCTTGGCCCCAGGAGTTACCGGAAGGAGGCGTACAAGGACTCCATCCAACATGTTGCAATGTATTTGGACCGATAGAAGCTCCATATAAAGCACTCAGGAGTCCAGCTGTATTTTGTTTCCTGCTTAGCAGGGGGTTGGACTCGATGGCCCTTGTGGTCTCTTCCAACTCTATGATTCTATGATTCAAGGAGGGCTTTATTCCAGCTGCAGTCCTGCAGCATCATAAAGTACCATAAATCAGCCTTCCTACATACAGGGGAGAAGCCAGTGTGGAGAAGTCAAGCATACCTCTGTATACTAGCTGGCTATAGACAGGCAGGGCCCCATCTCTTGGGATGCTGACTCACCACATGAAACCGAGTCAGCATTTCCACTTAGCTTAGTGTTCACTCCTTGATACCCACAACACTCCAACACAATCATCTTAAGGACTCCACTCCCGATTTGTGTAACGATTACTTCTTAGGCTCTTCTTTTCCTGAAGATATTCACGCAAGGCAGCAGAGGTTTAGGATCAGAGTTTTCCTTCTGCTGCTTGGCCTCCCTTCCCAGGTTGATGAGCCCCTCACTTCCCTCTACGGCACTTGCAGAAACCACGTGCTTGACCATTGGAGACACTATTGGTCTCGTCTGCTCATTGTGCCAGAGCCTGCCATCGCATGCAGTGAAAGTCCCCGACTCATCAAGGGATTGAGACCCATCAATTATCCTCAACTGGTTTAGATGGCCTGTCGAAGCTTTTCCTGGGTTGTGTCTGCTGTTGCATGCTGACAGCGTCTAGGACCCACAGCTGAGAGCTGAGTACAGGTTGGGGATTAATGGTGGACCAATCACCCTAGAAGGAGCCCTATATGTCCCCCACAAGAGGTACTATCCCAGCCCCAACACCCCATGACATAATACTATTAATGTATTTGATATCTCAGGAATAAATTTGTGTCTCCAGCAATAAAACTAACAGCTTCATCCCATGAATGCATCAATGCTAAATGTCCAAGGCTGAAGTTTCCATTAAGTGCAGTTATATATTGATGTTTAATATCGAGCTTCCTCAGTGTGACACAGATTCCGCTTTGAAATAGAGGAGGTATGTCCAGGAGTGATGCAAATGGAGAAAGGACAGTGAGAGAGGCCTAGGCAGAGAATTTACACTAGGATAGCCCTGTGTCAGAAAACGGGCACGAGATCTGGTGGCACATCATAATTATAAATACTAATTGGGATGACTGCCAATTGAACTTGATGTGTATCATCTTCCTTTGTTCTCTCCCTTGAAACACCAACAGGATTTTGTCTCCCTGCACTCTAAAGCAGACAATGGAGAAGACAGGCAAGAGTTCTGGGGGGCCATCTGTAAATTCAAAAGGAATAACGAAGAAACCATTTGAATGTATAGAGTGTGGAAAGAGCTTCAATCGAAGTGAAACCCTTAGAAAACATCATCGAACTCACACAGGGGAGAAACCATTTAAATGTATGCAGTGTGGGAAAACCTTCAGTCAAAGCGGACACTTAAGACTACATCAACGAACTCACACAGGTGAGAAACCATTTGAATGTATAGAGTGTGGAAAGAGCTTCAGTCAAAGCGGACACTTAAGACTACATCAGCGAACTCACACAGGGGAGAAACCATTCAGATGCATGGAGTGTGGAAAGAGCTTCAGTGATAGTGGGAAACTTCGACTACATCATCGAACTCACACAGGGGAGAAACCATTTAAATGTATAGAGTGTGGAAAGAGCTTCTCTAATAGTGGGAAACTTCAACGACATCATCTAACTCACACAGGGGAGAAACCATTCAGATGCATGGAGTGTGGAAAGAGCTTCTCTAATAGTGGGAAACTTCGACGACATACTCTAACTCACTCAGGTGAGAAACCATTTGAATGTATAGAGTGTGGAAAGAGCTTCAGTCAAAGGGGAAACCTTAGAATACATCAGCGAACTCACACAGGGGAGAAACCATTCAGATGCATGGAGTGTGGAAAGAGCTTCAGTGATAGTGGGAAACTTCGACTACACCATCAAACTCACACAGGGGAGAAACCATTTAAATGTATAGAGTGTGGAAAGAGCTTCAGTCAAAGTGGACACTATAGACTACATCAACGAACTCACACAGTGGAGAAAGCATTTAAATGTATAGAGTGTGGAAAGAGCTTCAGTCAAAGTGAGAAACTTCAACAACATCATCAAACTCATACAGGGGGAAAACCATTTGAATGTATAGAGTGTGGAAAGAGCTTCGCTCATAGTGGGAAACTTCGACTACATCAACGAACTCACACAGGGGAGAAACCATTCAAATGTATAGAGTGTGGAAAGAGCTTCAGTCTAAGTGAAACCCTTAGAAAACATCAGCGAACTCACACAGGGGAGAAACCATTTAAATGTATAGAGTGTGGAAAGAGCTTCAGTCAAAGTGGACAATATAGACAACATCAACGAACTCACACAGGGGAAAAACCATTTAAATGTACAGAGTGTGGAAAGAGCTTCAGTCTAAGTGAAACCCTTAGAAAACATCAGCGAACTCACACAGGGGAGAAACCATTTAATTGTATGCAGTGTGGGAAAACCTTCAGTCAAAGGGGACACTTAAGAGAACATCAACGAACTCACACAAGTGAAAAACCATTTGAATGTATAGAGTGTGGAAAGAGCTTCAGTCAAAGTGGACACTGTAAACGACATCAACGAACACACATGGAAAAAACCATTTGAATGTATAGAGTGTGGAATGAGCTTCAGTTGAAGTGAAAACTCTTTGCTATTTGCTGTTTAGTAGCGCTGCAGAGAGCTTGCTGGGGAGACCATGCATTAAAAAGGGACTCAAAAATAACTTAAACAAGGTTTTAATAACAAAAAGAAAAACTCCTTGTACACTAAATACATCAACAACAAACCCGACCCATCCCCCAGGGTAATGAGGGAGCTAGTTGCTGCTCATTATATACTATACCCAAATGCTGACACAGCTTGATTAACACACCTCAGTAGCACCTGCTATGTTTCACAGCTGTAAGACTGGGTCTCGTTATTTGCCCTGGCTCTGACTCTTAAAGACATACACAACTTGTGAAACAATAATGAACCTTCACATTTTAAAGTGACCATTCAACATTTCTCCTGCGGTTCATTATTCTGGAACAAAAACATAAAGCATATTTTGTACATGTCTTTCATGTGTAACCTTTGGAAGAGCTTTAGTAAAAATGCCTGCCATTTGATTGTCACCTGGAACATACTGAAATACAATCATTTCATCAGCAATTAGTTTCTTTACAAACTGTAAACGTAACCTTAAGACTCTAGTGCACTGCATATTGGTCTCTGAACACAGGATAGCGAGTCCACTCTGGGAATCAAGGTAAACGTTTACTGGTAGTGTTACTTGCATCTGTAGGTCGGCAAATACTTGCAGATACCATTCTATATCACAAGTGGCCTGAATGCATGCACATAATTCATTCTCTGTTGTGGAGAGACAAATAATGGTTTGTGTCTGGGACCTCCATTCAAATGGACAACCGTTATAACAAAACACCATACCAGACACACCCCTGCAACTATTTTGCTCCACTGCATGAGATGCATCGCAGAAAATTTCAAAACCTTTGTCAATACTTGTAAACTGCAACCTATAATGTTTGGTATGTTTAAGGTACATTACCACTCTCTTAAGAGCAGAGAAACATTGCGTAGTGGGCTTTTCCACAAATTTTGCCAGAAAGTGAAAAGCATAAGTTATATCTGGTCTTGAGATTCTTTGAATGAAATTTAGCTTGCCTATAGCAGAATGATACAAAGTTTGGTTAGGAAATGGCTTATCTTCACCTGTAAAGGGGAAACCACACACTATAGGCATTTCCTTCCCATTTACATTTTCTAAACATAGCATTTCAACAAGATCATCAATTTTTGCAGTTTGATGAACCAGGAAAGATCCATTTTTGCCCTTCTCAATTTGCATGGATAAGTAATTTTTAGCTATGCCTAATTCCACCACTTGAGCCAGACATCCTGGAGACCCTGAGCCAGACATCCTGTAGAGTGAAGTCTAATGGGCCTTAGAAAGCACTGCAAATAACAAGGCCAATGGAAGTGATGCTATTCCAGCTGAACTATTATTAATAATAATAATAACAAAACAACAACAACAACAATAATAATTTATTATTTATACCCTGCCCATCTGGCTGGGTTTCCCCAGCCACTCTGGGCGGCTTCCAACTGAATATTAAAAACAGTAAAGCATCAAACATTAAAAACTTCCCTAAAGAGGGCTGCCCTCAGATGACTTTTAAAAGTAAAATAGTTGTTTATTGCTTTGACATCTGCTGGGAGGGCGTTCCACAGGGCAGGCGCCACTACCGAGAAGGCCCTCTGCCTGGTTCCCTGTAACCTCGCAATGAGGGAACCGCCAGAAGGCCCTCAGATCTCAGTGTGCGGACTGAACGATGGGGGTGGAGACGCTCCTTCAGGTATACTGGACCGAGGCCGTTTAGGGCTTTAAAGGTCAGCACCAACACTTTTAATTGTGCTCGGAAACGTGCTGGGAGCCAATGCAGATCTCTCAGAACTGGTGTTATCTGGTCCCGGCGGCCACTCCCAGTCACCAGTCTAGCTGCCGCATTCTGGATTAATTGCAGTTTCCGGGTCACCTTCAAAGGTAGCCCCACGTAGAGCGTGTTGCGGTAGTCTTAGCGGGAGATAACTAGAGCATGCACCACTGGCAAGACAGTCCGCGGGCAGGTAGGGTCTTAGCCTGCGTACCAGGTGGAGCTGGTAGACAGCTGCCCTGGACACAGAATTAACCTGCGCTTCTACGGACAGCTGTGAGTCCAAAATGACTCCCAGGCTGCGCACCTGGTCCTTCAGGGGCACAGTTACCCCATTCAGGACCAAGGAATCCCCCACACCCGCCCGCCCCCTGTCCCCCAAAAACAGTACTTCTGTCTTGTCAGGATTCAACCTCAATCTGTTAGCTGCCATCCATCCTCCAACAGCCTCCAGACACTCACACAGGACCTTCACTGCCTTCACTGGTTCTGATTTAAAGGAGAGGTAATTTTAAAAGATGATGCTGTTAAGGTGCTACACTCAATATGCCAGCAAGTTTGGAAAACTCAGCAGTGGCCTGAGAATTGGAGAACACTCTACATCCCAATCCCAAAGAAGGGCAGTGCCAAAGAATGCTCCAACTACCGCACAATTACACTCATTTCAGACGCGAGCAAGGTTATGCTTAAAATTCTACAATGCAGGCTTAAGCAGTATGTGGACCGAGAACTCCCAGAAGTGCAAGCTGCATTTAGAAGAGGCAGAGGAACCAGAGACCAAATTGCAAACATGCGCTGGATTATGGCGAAAGCTAGAGAGCTCCAGAAAGACATCTAATTCTGCTTCATTATATATGCAAAAGCCTTTTTAATATTTCTTTTTATTGAATTTCACTTAAATAACCAAAAGAAAAAACAAAACAACAGTTACAGAAAAAAGAAAGGAAAAAAAAGAAAAAATATCCATACATAACACAAAAATAGCATCAATTTCCGTTACAGTTCCTTGTCTTACTCCTTGAATCTTTATATCTTTAGATATTTAGATCTTTCCTCTACACACGTATTGACCTCCTTCCCTCCCGATTTCGGGCTTCTTGATAAAAATTCTTTCTTTTTTCTGCAGCTAAGAATTGTTAATGGTTTGCGCATCTTAAGATTTATATCAGACCTGCTGTAGTTTTTAAGTTTCTATAGTTTCCTTCAATATATACCATAAATTTATTCCAATCGCTAATAAACTTTGTATTTTTTTAGTTTCTAATTTTTTTGCGTCATTTTTGCTAATTCAACATATTCAAATAATTTTGTTTGCCAATCTCTGACCATTGGGGTATTTGGATTTTTCAATTTTGTGCAATTAATATTCTAGCCGCTACTGTCGAATATTGGAATACTGTTTTATCTTCTTTTTTAATTTCACCCCCAATTATTCCTACTAGGAAGGCCTCTGGTCTTTTAGGGAAAGTGTATTTAAATATATTTTTTAACTTGTTATTATCTGATCTTATCAGTAAGTCTTCGTAGGTCAATCTTTCTCCTTCCATATCTGCTTTTTTGGTTGTTAAAATGTCAATTGGGGATAACCACCAGGGTGTCTTCCATTCTAAAAGTTTTTTATTTTTCTCCCAAACTTCATATAGTGGCCCTCTAATAATATGACTTGAAAACCCTTTATGTACCTTTTCTTTATTTAGCCACAAGTAGGCGTGCCAACCAAACCTATTGTTGAAACCTTCTAGGTCTAAGAGGTCAGTGTTTCCCAAATTAATCCAATCTTTGATCCAACAAAGGCAGGAGGCCTCGAAGTATAATTTCAAATTTGGCACCGAGAATCCCCCTCTTTCTTTTCGATCTGTGAGTAATTTGAATCTAATTCTCGGTCTTTTCCCTTGCCATATAAATTTCGAAAGAGTTTTCTGCCAATCCTTAAACATTGTGGAACCTCTAATCACAGGGATGTTTTGGAACAAGAATAACATTCTTGGGAGTATGTTCATTTTTATTGCCACCATCCTTCCCGACCACGAAAGTTTCACTCTGTTCCACGTATCTAGATCTTTTTTAATTTCCTTCCATGTTGTCAAGTAATTATCCTGAATTAAGTTTATATTTTTTGTAGTTAGCCAAATTCCTAGATATTTTATTTTTTTAGCCACCTTGATTCCATTCTGTATCTCTAATTTTTCTCTTTCATCTTTTCCCAGATTTTTAGTCAGCATTTTTGGCTTTGATTTATTCAATTTAAAACCGGATAGTTTGCCATATTCTTCGAATATTACCAGAGCCTTACTGACGCTTTTTTGCGGCTCTTCTAGGGATAATATCAAATCGTCTGCATACGCTTTTAGTTTGTGTTCTTTCCTTCCTACTTTGATCCCTCGAATCTCTGGTGTTGCTCTTATTTTGTTCGTAATTACGTCTAATACCATAATGAATAAAAGCAGGAATAGAGGGCAACCTTGTCTTGTTCCTTTTTCAATTTTAAATGAATTTGTTAAATTGTTGTTTATAATCAATTTGGCAGATTGATTCGTATAGATTCCTTTTATTCCTTCCATAAATTCACCCTCTAGCCCTGCTTTCTCCATGCTTTTTAGTAGGAACGGCCATGAGACATTGTCGAATGCCTTCTCCGCATCAATAAAAATCAGCGCCGCAGGTACTTCATTCTTACACTCCAAATATTCAATGATATTTATGGTATGCCTTACATTGTCTTTGAGTAACCTATTTGGAAGGAATCCTGCTTGATCCTTATGAATTAGGTTTGCTAGACATCTTTTGAGTCTACTTGCCATTACCTCTGCAAAGATTTTGTAATCATTATTTAATAATGATATGGGCCTATAGTTTTTAATATTAAGTTTGTCCGTATCAGGTTTAGGCCTCTTTCCATGTTTCTGGTATCCTTCCTCCTCTCAATATATTATTCATAATGTCATATAGCACTGGTGTTAATTGATTTTCTAATACTTTATAATATTTAGCTGACAAGCCATCCGGTCCCGGGGCTTTTCCTAATTTCATCTTTCTTATCGCATCCTGGACCTCTTCTACTTTATGGGTTTATTTAATTGGGTTCTTTCTTCCTCTGTTATACTCTTCCTGCTGCAGTCTTCTAAGTATTTTTCTATTCGGATTATTTCTTCCTCTACCTTTTTATACAATTTCTCATAAAATTTGAGGAAATTTTCCTGTATTTCTTTTGGGTCTTCTATCAATTGCTCCTCCATTTTTATCTTATTTATCACATTTTGTTTTTGCCTTCTTCACAATTGCCAAGCTAATAATTTACCTGTTTTGTTAGCTGA